CTCAGAAGAGAAGATGGTGAAATGCAAACAGGGGACACAGAAAGGGCTGAACTCCTCAATGCCTTCTTTGCCTCAGTCTTCTCCGATAAAGAAAACAATGCCCGACCTGAAGAATTTGGAGCAAATGATTCAGCAGAGGAAACACAGCCCAGAATAACTAAGGAGATAGTACAAGAATACTTGGCTAGTTTAGATGTATTCAAGTCTCCAGGGCCAGATGAACTGCATCCAAGAGTATTAAAAGAACTGGCAGATGTGATCTCAGAACCACTGGCAGTCATCTTTGAGAATTCCTGGAGAACAGGCGAAGTTCCGGCAGACTGGAGGAGGGCAAATGTTGTCCCTATTTTCAAAAAGGGGAAAGAGAGGACCCAAATAATTACCGCCCAGTCAGTCTGACATCAATACCAGGGAAGATTCTGGAGCAGATCATTAGGCAAACAGTCTGTGAGCACCTAGAAAGGAATGCTGTGATCACCAATAGTCAGCATGGATTTCTGAAAAATAAGTCATGTCAGACTAACCTGATCTCATTTTTTGACAGAATTACAAGCCTGGTAGATGAAGGGAACGCAGTGGATGTAGCCTACCTTGATTTCAGCAAGGCATTTGACAAGGTGCCCCATGATATTCTTGTAAAGAAGCTGGTAAAATGCGGTCTTGACTATGCTACCACTCAGTGGATTTGTAACTGGCTGACTGACCGAACCCAAAGGGTGCTCATCAATGGTTCCTCTTCATCCTGGAGAAGAGTGACTAGTGGGGTGCCACAGGGTTCTGTCTTGGGCCCGGTCTTATTCAACATCTTTATCAACAACTTGGATGATGGACTGAAGGGCATCCTGATCAAATTTGCAGATGACACCAAACTGGGAGGGGTGGCTAACACCCCAGAGGACAGGATCACACTTCAAAACGACCTTGACAGATTAGAGAACTGGGCCAAAACAAACAAGATGAATTTTAACAGGGAGAAATGTAAAGTATTGCACTTGGGCAAAAAAATGAGAGGCACAAATACAAGATGGGTGACACCTGGCTTGAGAGCAGTACATGTGAAAAGGATCTAGGAGTCTTGGTTGACCACAAACTTGACATGAGCCAACAGTGTGACGCGGCAGCTAAAAAGCCAATGCAATTCTGGGCTGCATCAATAGGAGTATAGCATCTAGATCAAGGGAAGTAATAGTGCCACTGTATTCTGCTCTGGTCAGACCTCACCTGGAGTACTGTGTCCAGTTCTGGGCACCACAGTTCAAGAAGGACACTGACAAACTGGAACGTGTCCAGAGGAGGGCAACCAAAATGGTCAAAGGCCTGGAAACGATGCCTTATGAGGAACGCCTAAGGGAGCTGGGCATGTTTAGCCTGGAGAAGAGGAGGTTAAGGGGTGATATGATAGCCATGTTCAAATATATAAAAGGATGTCACATAGAGGAGGGAGAAAGGTTGTTTTCTGCTGCTCCAGAGAAGCGGACACGGAGCAATGGATCCAAACTACAAGAAAGAAGATTCCACCTAAACATTAGGAAGAACTTCCTGACAGTAAGAGCTGTTCAACAGTGGAATTTGCTGCCTAGGAGTGTGGTGGAGTCTCCTTCTTTGGAGGTCTTTAAGCAGAGGCTTGACAACCATATGTCAGGAGTGCTCTGATGGTGTTTCCTGCTTGGCAGGGGGTTGGACTCGATGGCCCTTGTGGTCTCTTCCAACTCTATGATTCTATGATTCTATGATTCTATGATTCTATTAATACCCAGCATAGATTTTCAGTGTCTTCAGTAGCAAGCTCACATGCACACACATACACTAGGCCAGGGCTGGTCTCAGAACCCACCATCCATGGGCAGCTCCTGCTTACCCATTCCTCCAGAGGTAGAATTACCTGGCAGCAGCTTCTGGATCTGGGAAATTAATTAATCACCATGTTAAATTTCAAACAATGGTATGGGGCACCTAACAGTATTATGCTGGGTGCTCCTGAGAATTGTGGGAAATTTAACATAGTAGGTGGTTTTCTGCATTCAGTTGATGCTCTGTCTGGAAAGCACCAACATTGTGAACTGCCCTGAGATCTGTGGCTGTAGGCATACGTTATTATTATTATTATTATTATTATTATTATTATTAAATATAATAATAATTTATATTTATACCCTGCCCATCTGGCTGGGTTTCCCTGAGCGGCTTCTAACAAAAGATTAAAAATACCTTAAAACATCAGTCATTAAAAACTTCCCTAAACAGGGCTGCCTTCAGATGTCTTCTAAATGTCAGGTGGTTGTTTATTTCTTTGACATCTGGTGGGAGGGCGTTCCACAGGGCGGGTGCCAGTACTGAGAAGGCCCTCTGCCTGGTTCCCTCTAACTTCACTTTTCGCGGGGAGGGAACCACCAGAAGGCCCTCGGCGCTGGAACTCAGAATGCTTCTGGAGGGGTGTTAATATATTCACTCAGTGCTTTTTTTCTTAAAAAACCCCAAACATTTAGGGGTACTCTCAATTTCCTACTCATATTGAAATACTGCCCCTCAATGAAGCCAAACTTAGATTGACAAAATGTTTAGGGGATTGCATACCCCTGTGTCCCCCCAGAAAAAAAGCACTGTATTATTCCTATCCATTGAGAATGCCACCCGTAAACCTTTTCATACCCATTAGCAAACAATAAGTGTTTTTGTTTTGCTTTGCAAGGGATGCACCAACATTTCAAATTCTGAGGATGGGAGGGTGTGCACATTGTCAGAGGCCTATAAATAATGAGGTTCTCTTGGTTTGATGTTCACTCAGCATAAATAGACCCTGGCAAGGAGGCAGGGGGAAATCACAAACAAATATAATATCCAGAAATCCAGATTCTCATTCCTTGGAGGTTTTGAAGCAAATGTCAGATGGCCATCTGTCATGGATGTTTTAGCTGAGATTCCCGAATTGCTGAGGGTTGGGCTAGATGGCACTCAGGATCCCTTCCAACTCTCTATAATTCTATGAAATGATTATGTGAATGGACTTGCTTAGGATACCAACAGAAGGGCAGCTCTCCACAACAGCAAAGGAGGCAAATCTGGTCCTGAGAAACATTACAGATTGAAAGTTAAAGGTAAAGGTAAAGGGACCCCTGACCGTTAGGTCCAGTCGTGGCCGACTCTGGGGTTGCGGCGCTCATCTCGCTTTATTGGCTGAGGGAGCCGGCATACAGCTTCTGGGTCATGTGGCCAGCATGACTAAGCCGCTTCTGGCGAACCAAAGCAGCGCACGGAAACGCCATTTACCTTCCCGCCAGAGCTGTACCTATTTATCTACTTGCACTTTGACGTGCTTTCAAACTGCTAGGTTGGCAGGAGCAGGGACCGAGCTCACCCCGCCGCGGGGATTCGAACCGCCGACCTTCTGATTGGCAAGTCCTAGGCTCTGTGGTTTAAGCCACAGCGCCACCCGCGTCCCTAGATTGAGAGTTAAATATGCTCAAATAGGATTTGACCATTTGAAGCATAAATATCCAGTTGCTTTGTATCAATGACTGCAGTAGCTAAGGGACAAGTTTGGAGTTGTAAATGCAAAGCACAGTTTACATTCCCCCCCTCTTTGTGAGGTAGGGTGCTGACTGTTCCAAAACGTAGCAGAACAACTGTTTCCCAGAGATCAGGATTTGAATATACCATTCAAATTGCAGACCACACATGTGCATGGAACATCCGATGGTGTCAAAGGCAAAATTACACTTAAGCTCACCACACAACCAATAAATCTGATTTTAGATTAAATTGTTATTGACGTGTCTCAAGATTCAGGGGGAATTCTCATATTTCTGAGAGACCGTTTGAGAAAGAATAGGGGAAGGCGGCAGAAGCGAAGACCTCATCCTGGCTCAGCTATAGAGATGCCAGTGGAAATTCCTCAACTCAGCTCAGAAAGGCAGCTGAACCAACACGGGAGCAAAATAAGTCCCCAGAAAGGGCTGTTTTTGGGGAGTGGGCAGGGGCATGGGATGGGGCAGGAGGAGCCTTACCCCCTTTTCCAAACTGTGTTCAACTTGGCCATGTTTCCTAGAAAACCAGCTTAATTTACACCAGAAAAAGGGTGGTGCAAGTCAAACTATTTTAAAGGCTTGTTTTCCCTCTGCCAGGCTCAGATCAGTTCAGCCAGCAGCAGTCCTGTTGCTGAATGGAGTTTGGAATAGGGTTGTTACCGTGGCCTAATTTACCTCAGCATAAATTACACTGGTTTCCTGTAGTCTGGATTGTTCTGCCTGTGTACAAAGGGAATAATGGATATTTGAAGCACCTATTAAATGGCAAAGAGGAGGAGGAGGAGAGAGAGAGAGAGAGAGGTAGCACACACTTACTCTAATGTCTTGTGGCACCTCTAAGGCAAACATATTCATGATGGTAGAGTCTTTTGGAAACTTTATTTCACTTCGTGTGTGTGTGTGTGTGTGTGTGTGTGTGCCTGTATTTTTTTGGGGGGGGGAGTTGTGTCCGCTTTTTCTTTTGCATAGAGACTGGCCTGTTTTTCTGACATAGAACATAGAAGGGCACTCTACATAAACAAATAAAAGACACAATTTTTGTAGGCTATATATTAGCTTGATCGTCATTAATGCATGAAGGGGTTAATACCATAAAGTAAGCTGTCCTGCCAGGCTTAGATAGATCACATCCCCTCATCTTAGGAGGAAGGTGTTGGGAAACGCCAAGGCTGATACCTCTCCCCCAACACAACACAGCCCGAGATGAGTCATCACTCCTGTGTCCCGTCACGCTGATGTGACCCATATCCAAGGACACGAGCACACGACACTAGCAGAGTCCAAACAGAAGCTGAGCCTTGAGGTGTGACATCTAAGCCTAAATTTATTATGTACAGAATCAAACGTAACAGAACAAAGAAAACATGGCTCCTCTCTTTCTTCCTTGAAGAGAAGGGAAAAGCAAAAGTTATACAGAACGGAACAGCGTATCTGAACTTCCGTTCCCATGACATCCAACACTGTGGAACGTAAACACAGACGTGTAACAACAACAATCACACAACTGCAGCACGGAGGAATGAAATTCCCAACATCAGGGTTACTACAATCTTTGTTCTTTTTCTTCCACCATGTGAACCCTTACCAGTAAGGATGTCTAAGCTGAATGATGCAAGCTTAGACTGCATGGCTTAAGCAAGCAGTTTTGTGTTTCTATACAAATAATTTAGAAACACTTTCCATTTCTGCCTGTCTTTTCTTATGGCCAGCTCACCCTGCCCCATTCTCTGGAGAGCAGTAGATGCCATGAGGGCAGGGGCGGAGGAAGGGGGGCGGAGGGGGCAGGCCGCCCCAGGTGTCATCACTGAGGGGGGGTGACATTCGGCACACCGCCCACCCGCGACTCCCCCCTTCCCCCTTCATTTTGCCTGCTCGGGCGAGGCCTGGGAGTTGCAGGCGGGCAGTGCTGTTTCCTGGGGGGGGGAGTCTCCCCTGAGCTGTCAAAAGGAAGAGGGAAGGGAGGAAGTCTGTTGGCAAAGTGGCACAGCTCCCTTTACCCCCTTGCCCAGGAAGTAGCCCACCATGGGCGTCTCGCTCCACCCCCTGGATGTCTCACCCCCCTGGGACACTCGCCCCGCCCCCATGGCTCCACCCACGGGTGCACAGCATGTGCACCGCTCCAGGTGCCGGAGCAGCTAGCTCCGCCTCTGCGTGAGGGTACTGATGCTACACTGTCTTGCACTGCTGGTGCTGTTTACAATACCCACCAAGCTGTGTGTATATGTAGCTGTCGCTGAGAATAGCACTTTTGCACTCGATGTGGTCCATGAAAGCTGATGCCATCATAAATTTGTTTGTCTTCAAGGCACCCCAAGACTCACGGTTGCTTTTGTTGCAACAAACTGATGCGGCTACCCCCCTGGAAATGGTTACGGTACTTTCCCTGAAGTCAGTGAAAAGTGCTACACGCTGAGGTGGAAATTGGATGGAGCCTCTCAGGAAGGTTTCCTTCAGATCCCTGCAGAAAGCTGACCAAAAACATCAGTTCTGCTAGGTCGTAGTAGAAAACTTTGTGGAAACAGCTCTTAGGAAATGTACTGAACATTTAAAAAAGCATAACAATGCTGCAGTATAAATGAATGGTATATTGGTGGTTAGAAGAGCGTGTTTGTTAGAAGGGTTAGTTCAATATGTCTGGCGTACACACACACACACACACACACACACACACATACACAAACACGATGCAGGCAGATTCCTTCCTGAAGTGAAACAGGTCTGCATCTGATTGGTGTCTGGATGAGAGACCACCTAGAATCGAATGCATGCCACCTTACGTTCTATAGAAGAAAGGTGGAATATAATAATAATAATAATAATAATAATAATAATAATAATAATAATAAATTTAATTTATATCCCGCCCTCCCCAGCCAAACCCAGGCTCAGGGCGGCTAACAACAATCAAATAATCAAACAATCAAATAATCCAACATTCTAAAACATTTCATTATAAAAATTAATTAAAATCAAATTAATGGCAACCGTTAAGCAAAGTTCTGTGCAGGTTGCCAGAGGAGGGAGTCAGGCTGGGCCCTGACCAAAGGCCTGGTGGAACAACTCTGTCTTGCAGGCCTTGCGGAAAGATGTCAGGTCCTGCAGGGCCCTAGTCTCTTGTGACAGAGCGTTCCACCAGATTGGAGCCGCAGCCGAGAAAGCCCTGGCTCTAGTTGAGGCCAGCCTAACCTCTCTGAGGCCTGGGACCTTCAGGATGTTTTTATTTGCAGACCGTAGGTTCCTCTGTGGGGCATACCAGGAGAATAATATACATGAATATACATGAATAATTACCGTACATAATGTTACAGATGAAAATACAGTGGTACCTTGGGTTACAGACGCTTCGGGTTACAGACGCTTCAGGTTACAGACGCTTCAGGTTACAGACTCCACTAACCCAGAAATAGTGCCTCGGGTTAAGAACTTTGCTTCAGGATGAGAACAGAAATTGTGCGGCAGTGGGAGGCCCCATTAGCTAAAGTGGTACCTCAGGTTAAGAACAGTTTCAGGTTAAGAATGGACCTTCAGAACGAATTAAGTTCTTAACCCGAGGTACCACTGTACAGGAAAAGGAAAACAGAAAGAACAGAGGCTGGGATGTAGCATCTTCTTTTTACCTGCAACTGAACTCTGAATTTTCCCTCAGGCTGCCATTACTCAGCCGATTCAGACACTCTTCCCCAAGCTTAATTCTCTTCCTTCCTGGCCCTCCATTGCCCTGAGCTTAATTATCCCTCTAGGTATTAATGCTTGCTGGCCCATGAGCCCCTACCACCTGAGCTTCCTTCTGGAGGGGCATCTTAAATAGTAGGGGCTATTTAGCTTGGACAAAAAACTGACTGAGATTAGGGATGACAGAGATGTATACAATTATGAACAGCAAAAAAAAGTAATGTATTGTCTGGTACACTCATGTTGGCTGGTTGACTGAGTTCAGGAAAAAAAAGGAAGCAATCATTGGTGTAGGACACCATTAAATTACAGAACTTATCACCATGGGAAGTTGGAATGAGCACTAACACAGATAGCATTTTGAAAGGTATTTGCAACATTGCATCTTGGCCACAATAGCTAAGAATAGAACCTAATGTTTAGGAGAATTTTATCTCCGAAGGTAAACAACAGGAGATGGCTAGGTCCATAATGCCTCGCTTGTCAGCTTCCTAGGGTTTTGGTCACCAGAGGTGGGTTTATAATCTGATTCAGCAAGGCAGCGATTACGTTCCCACACAAAGATTTTGAAAGGGAAAATTCGCAACCTCATTATGGTAACACAATGTAGTGGTATACTCCTCTATTAAAACCCTGTTTTTCAAGCATGAAGGAATTTAAGGCTGAAAACATGCAATTCCTAAGTACTATCTGCATGTTATTCGCATGGACGGCAGTCACAGGTTCACGCATCTCACGCTGCCTTCAAGGCAGCATTGCCATGCTACCTGTACCTCTGACGACCATATGTTGCCTGCAAGGGAACCTCTATGCATATGCAGCTGCTCATACATAAGCACAGTTCCTCTCCAGTTAGTGCCCTACATGCAAATAGGGCGGAAATTACTGGCAGAATCCGTGACCAGGGAGAAGAGTCGGTGGAAGAAGATTGGAAGAAATTCAAAGATTATTTACAGAAACATTGCAAAATTAATGAATGTTAGAGTGATGTTGGATTGAAGTTAAGTGGCTTCTAGCTGTACAGGTTTTAAAGTTATAAATATATTAAGATTAGGGATTAGGATTAAAAAGGTTAAAAGAATGGAAAAATTGGTTTTAAATAGGTAAAAATCAAATGTCATAATATATTAAGATTAAGGATTGGGATTAAAAAGGAGGGAAAGAAATTGCTGGACTAACAAACTGAATTGGAATACAAAAGAGGGAGGTATGAGGAAGTCCGGGAAACAAGTAAATGTAAAAGAAGTCATGAAAAGACGGAATTGTTTTTAACTGTTTTTCCTTCTTTTTTTATCTTTTTGTATTTTGTATTTTGTATTCTGTATTTTTCTTTTTTCTTCTTAAATTTCTCTTGTCTATTAATGTGATTTTATTTTTTTCTGAAATTTTAATAAATATTAATTAAAAAAAATACATGCAAATAATGCATGACTAGAGCTTAATCTTACCCTCTAGGAACTCTTTTAGTAAATGGAGTGTAGCTGGACAAGCTGGAAATCCATGAATCCATTGCCCTGTTTCCAAGGTGATGCCCTGCTGTACCATTGGTTCCCCTTCTTCTCCCTCTGGCCACATTGAAGTAGCACAGTAGTGCCATGATTTAGCCATGGTGTTACTTTATTTGCATGCAGAATTTGCTGGTGGCACATGAGTCAATCAATTTGCCATGAGTAGGCACCTATTCTGAGCAGGATGGTCATGTCTGTCATATAATCCATTCTATGGAAGGTCCTGCTTCAGCGTTGAACCAACGATGACACATGCACCTTAGATCAATGCATTTTCCTTCATAGAAAGTCACTGTTTAATGGGTGGAAGATGAGTTATTCCACACTTATCTTGTTGGCTAATGCAAATAAAGTATCTATCTATCTATCTATCATTTATCTTTCTTTCTTTCTATCTATCTATCTATCATCTATCTATCATCATCTAGTCAAAATAAACAGCCATGTAAGTGACATTAATAAAATGAGACCATAATATTGGGACCCTTTGTCCAATCTTTCCAAACTTTGCTAGGTGCAATGCCCAGAGATGGGGGTAGTTCAATTTCTGAAATTATAACCTTGCCCAGTTTTATAGTCAAGTCTTACAACAGAAGGCCTAAGCCTACAAGAAGCATGATAAAAAATAAGAATAAAGCAGTGGTATCTGAAGTGTACCTCTTTCTCTTTTTTCTTAATTTTGGTATGATGTAATCAATCCCGTGCCTCCAAAAGAAATAGCATGTTTTCCAAGCCTTGGTCCTCTTTAGCAAGAACTATCTTTAAAAATAAATAAATCCCTTCTTTCCCCCAAAAGCACTGATCAGCCTCGGAGGAGGAAAACATCCCTGTGTTTCTCAGAATAAATATTCCCTGCTAGCTTTTTGGCATCCATTGAGACCACCCTTTCAGAAAGAAATCAGATCCTAACCAAACAAGTATGTGTGTTTGCGTGTGTGTGTGTGTGTGTGTGTGTGTGTAGTATTAAACCCCAGCTGTTAAAACATTTGGGCTGATTGCCGACCCCCTTGCAAAGCATGCAATCATCTTAGACATTTTGCTTGTGTGTTTGAAAGGAAACGTAGACCCTCTGCAATGAGCGTGAACAGTATGGCTCATTCCCATTCTCTGCTGCTGCTGTCCTCCTCATCACCACCTTCTTTCCACATTCCTGGAGGACAGTCGGAAGATTTATTGTATAATTTCTTTGGCGGCTGTTAGCCGAGCGTGCAACTACAGCTTGCTTTAATTAGGAAATCAGAGCATTTATTTTATGTAGGTCACATCAGTTTTTGATTCTGAAGCTCATAAAGTTATAACCTTTCTGAAAAGTCAGCTACGTCTGCATGCATGCGGGTGTGTGTACGGCCGAGCTTTGTAGGAGGAGAAAGAATGACTCACTGAAGGCTTCTGAATGTTCCCCATGTGCCAGGAAACACAGTCCCCTCTCTTTGAGACAAATTTTGAGAAAGACCTTTCTCTGAAGATCTCGATGTGGCACTTGACAAAATATGCATATTGTCTGACAAGCATAAAAATGCTTCCAGGCAGGATTTAGAATGACAGACGAGGCCTCCGACTGCCTGCAGTCTGGCAGTTTTGGAAAGAAAACAGCCTATCGCGAGAAGTATATTTCTATCTGTCCTTATAATTCATATCCATTGGAATTACATTAAAATAAAATGCTCTATCCATCAAAGCACTAAGAGCTCCCCTTTCAAAGAATTTTTCAAATCCTGTTATCAGATAATGGCATTTCGGCTGCAGTCCTAGGCCACATCTGGACTATAAGTTTAAAGCAGTGTTGCAGCAGCTTGGGGCAGATGTGCACTCAGAGGCAGAGAAAAGTGGGTGCGGTGGGTGTGGCCTGCCCCAGGTGCCATCCCTGAAGGGGGGTGACATCACCATGCTCGCGGCGGCCGTGCACCCCCCAGGACACTCACGGCGGGTAGGTGCACACTCCCCAGGAAGCTCGTGGCGGGTGGCCACGCACACCCTGGGAGGCTCGTGGCGGGTGGCCGCGCACTCCCTAGGACACTTGCCCCACCCCCAGGACATTCACCCCGCCCCCTGGGATGCTAGCCCTGCCCTTGCAGGCGGCTAGCCCCACCCCCGGGTGCACGCCGCTCCGGGTGCTTGAGCAGTTAGCGCTGCCTATTTCTGTACTATGCCTTTAAAGCATATTCAACACATCTGAGAAGAAGAGGAGTTTGGATCTGATATCCCGCTTTATCACTACCCGAAGGAGTCTCAAAGCAGCTAACATTCTCCTTTCCCTTCCTCCCCCACAACAAACACTCTGTGAGGTGAGTGGGGCTGAGAGACTTGAGAGAAGTGTGACTAGCCCAAGGTCACCCAGCAGCTGCATGTGGAGGAGCGGAGACGCGAACCCGGTTCACCAGATTACAAGACTACTGGTCTTAACCACTACACC